GTGAGACGGGGCGAGAGGCGGCGCGCGCGGAGGCGCGCGCGGAGGCGCGAGAGGCGGAGGCGGAGTTCTTCAAAAACGTCGTCGAGACGCCGAGGGCGACGCCGTTGCCCAAGGTGGACATGAAGACGACGCTGAGTGATCTCGATGCCTTGCTCGGGATCGATACCGAGGCGGAGGCGAAGAAGAAGGCTGAGGAAGAGGATGCGTTTCGAGCGACGCCGCGGTCGCCGTCGACGGATGAGCGAGAGGCGCCCGCGGAGGATTTCGCGAGCGGTGGGGTGTCCATCTCGCCGCAGGCGCTGGAGGCGCTGAAGAACGCGGAGGAGTCTCGAACGGGGATGAACAAGGGCAAAGGGGATGAGTTGGAGAAGGTTTTGAACGACCTCAGCGCCAGGGCGAGCAAGAACAAGGAGGCGGGGAAGAGCATGGAGGAAGACGCCGAGCTTCAGGCCTCGATGAAGAAGCTCGTCGAGATCTTAGAGAGTCCGGAGGAAGAGTCTGTCCCGCCGCAAGATGTTGAACGAATCAAGAAGGAAATTTTTGGCATGCAAACGTTTTACGTAACCGCGGTGGAAAATTTGGGCGCCGAGATGAACGGCGCCGGTGTGCTTTTCAAGGGTAATCTGCGAGCCGAGCGCGCCGAGGTATGGAAGACGGTACAGACGTCCATAGAGGCCATGTTCGACGGCCAATACACCGCGTTTATGCTCGAGGAACCGTTGGGTGAGGAGGGCCCAAGCGGCGACGCCGCAATCGACAGCAAATACGGACCGCGAGTGAGCTTCCTCGTCGTTCCGAGCGATCGCGCCGGACCGTCGCCGCAAACGACGGGATGGCAGTATCTTCTTGCCCTCGTACTGATGGGTCTCACCGTGGGCTCGGCCGTCCAGCTCGGACTCGTCGCCGAGGTGTCCCGCCTGCCACCGGAGACGATGACGTGGTTGCGCCAAGCTGGTGAGGTTGAACTCCCCGAGGGCGTGTTACCGCCGGGTTTGGAGAACTTCGACTCCGTGGCTTACGTTGAAGCGGCACTTCCAGTGAGCATAGGCGTCATGGCCGCGAGCGTCGGTCACGAAATCGGTCACCAGATTGCCGCCTCTATGCGCAAGATAAAACTCGGCATTCCATTTTTGATTCCGAACTCTCAGCTTGGCACGTTCGGTACGCTGACGCAGATCAAGAGCACACCAGAGACTCGATCGGATCTGTTCGACGTCGCCGCGGCGGGTCCCGTCGCCGGATCCATGGTGGCGCTAAACCTCTTTGTTTACGGTTTAACACTCTCGATGGGCGGCGATAATCCGGATTTGATCCCGATCCCGGAGACGTTGTTCAACACGAGCCTCCTCCTCGGTAGCATCTCGCAGCTCTTCCTGCATGCGGGGGCGAAAGGAGTCTTGGTTCATCCGTATTTCATCGCGGGCTGGTGCGCACTGACGACACAGGCGCTTAATCTTCTTCCCGTCGGCTCCATCGACGGCGGGCGCATGGCGCAAACCGCCTTTGGCCGTCGCGTCCTGGGCGCCACCTCCCTGGGCACGTACATATCATTAAGCTTCGGCGTGATCGCGAGCTCTTTGGCCCTTCCTTGGGCCATCTACATCGTGCTCACGCAACGAACGCCCGAATTCGCGCCCAAGGATGACGTCACGCCGGTGAATGATTTCCGCGCCACGTTGGCCTTCGCCATGATTGCCTGCGCGTTCCTCATCTTGCTCCCCGGCCCGATCGACGCCAGCACGGCCGAGATCGCGAACATTCCTTTCTAGGTCAACGATGTTTCAGCGTGTAATCCAGCTCCCTCGCATTGCGCTCGACGAACGCCTTCACACTCATCGGGAGCTCCAATTCCAACCACGACGATTCGCGCGCGCCTCGCGCGGCGCAGAGATCTCGGATGATTTTCAGATCTGCGCAATCTAAAAAAATCTGACGCGATTTAGATACTATAGAAATTATAACTCTATGTATAACTGGATAGGAAATCTGGATCCCGCAACGCCGAGCCCGGGGTGAAAATCCCATACATCACACGAATGAACACCGTGTGCGACACCGCCCGTCTCCACCCGACACTCTGTCTTACCCCCGTCCACCGACCGCGCGCGCTCGAGCGATATCGCCGCACACCGCGCCGCCGCGACGTCGCACTCGACGCACGCTCGGGCGTAGGACCTCCGCACACGCACGCGCTCGACCGCTTCGTCGTCGCGCGACGCGGACGGGCGAGACACGCGTCGTTTCACGCGCGCACGTCGACGAACCGCGACTCGTGATGGCGACGTGTGGGGCGAGTTCGAGCGCCGTGTGCGCGCGCGCGAGCGTCCGAGACCGCACGCGATCGCTCAAATCGTTCAAGCGAAACGCCACGCTTCGCTTACGGGCCGTTGTGGACAGCGAGAACGAAGCGTCGAGCGCTGCTGGTAAAAATGCGCCGTCCAGACCGGCGGAGTTGCAGCTGCGACCGGCGGGGGTGAGCGACGCGGTCGTCGACAGCCAAAAGGCGCTCGAGGCGTTGGCGAGATTGGGGGGTAATCGTACGTTTTCTGCGCGCGCGTTTCGTCGCGTTTTTACGAGCGAATTCGCGTCGGTCGAGGCGTGGGCGCGCGAGTTCGGGCGATCGCGGAAGATACGCGAGTTCTTCGGCTTATCCTTGCATGCATCCTTCTGGCTCTCACGCGTTCGGCCTCGTGGTGATTTGCGCGTGTACATGGCGGCGATACTCGAACTCGATGACTGACGATTTCACTGTGATGATTCGTACCTACTCGCAGCGTACGAGAGCGAGCGCAAGTCAAGCATCGTGACTATCGGCTTGAGCATTCACAGCTGCCCGGTGGAGATTCGCGAAAAAATGGCAGTCCCGGCGGAGGCGTGGAACGAAGCCGTGGCGGAGCTGTGCTCGTATCCGCACATCGAAGAGGCTGGAATTTTGTCGACGTGCAATCGCATGGAGATTTATGTCGTCGCGCTGAGCTATGAGCGCGGTTTGAAGGAAGTTGAGGAGTGGATGGTGAAGTACTCTGGGGTTGACTTGGAGTCGCTTAGAAACCACCTCTTCGTGCTCAAGGATCGCGAGTCCACGGCGCATCTTTTGAAGGTGTCTGGAGGTTTGGATTCGGTCGTGATGGGTGAAGGGCAAATTTTGGCTCAAGTCAAGAACGTGTTCGCCATGGGAGAGGGCGTGCCCTCATTTGGTCGTCACTTGACGGGTTTGTTCAAGGCGGCGATCACCGCCGGGAAGCGCGTGCGTAGCGAGACGTCCATCGCCTCCGGTGCTGTGTCCGTTTCCTCCGCCGCGGCTGAACTCGTGCAGTTAAAGCTCCCGTCGCAGTCGTTCGAGGGTGTCAAGGTGCTCATCGTCGGCGCAGGTACGATGTCCAAGCTCTTGGTGAAGCACTTGGCGTCCAAGCGCTGCACGGAGATGACCATTGTGAATCGCACCAGGCCGCGTGCCGAGGCGCTCGCGGAGGAGTTCCCGGAAGTGAACATGCGCATTGAGCTCATGGATCAGTTCTTGCCGCTTGCGAGCGAGCACGATGTGATCTTCACCGCGTCTAGCGCGGTTGATCCGATCATCAGCAAGAAAGACTTGGCCGCCTTCCCGGTGTGCGGCGAAGTCGTCGGTGGCAAGCGTCGCCTCGTGGACATCGCGGTGCCGCGAAACGTTGACGCAAACTGCACCGAAGATCCGAACACCGTGGTTTACAACGTCGACGATCTGAAGGAACTCGCCGAGTTGAACAAGGCGAAGCGAGAGCAAGCGGCGCTGGAAGCGCAGGCGCTTTTGCAAGAGGAGCAGCGAAACTTCGAGGCGTGGAGAGATAGCTTGGAAACCGTGCCGACGATCAAGCGTCTTCGTCAAAAGGCTGAGGACTTGCGCCAAGCAGAATTGGACAAGGCTATGTCCAAGCTCGGTGATGGGTTGACGAATAAGCAGAAGAAGGCGGTTGAGGAGCTTTCCCGGGGTATCGTCAACAAGCTTCTCCACGGGCCCATGGCGGCGCTTCGATCAGACGGTTCTGATCCCACCGCCGTGGCCATGACCCTGGTCAACATGCACGCCCTTGAGCGCATGTTCGACCTGCGCAACGTCAAAGAGTAAATATTAGGCCTTAATCCTTGCTGGCTGACTATTCTTTGACGATGCGTGAAATTTTGTCACAGCATTCCCTTCTCTGGGGAGACTTCCGTTGATTTCCTTAGTCTCGTCGGGGCGCCGTCGCGCCGCACTATTACACCGACCGCCGCGCTCGTTTAGGAGCGCGTCGTGTACCATAATAAACACACTTCACAACACCAGTCGAGCCACCTCTCATCCCTCTCTTGACGTCTTCGATCCACCGCCAACGTGGCTCTGCGTGGTGATCTTTCTGTTGACACGTCCACGCTCTCTTCACCCGCACACGTGCGCGCGTCGACGCCCCGCACGCCTCGCACCGAAACAACACGCGCATACCGACGCATAGATACCTCGAGCGGCGCGTGACATCGAGTATGGCGTCGCGTCAAGAGGAGAGCTCGCGCGCGTCACCGATGCACTTCGTTCGATCGATGTTCAACGTGCGTCTCAGTGCGGCTAAAGCGCGTCGTTCGGGCGCGTTAGCGAGCGTGTCGACGTCTCAAACGCGAGAGTTGAAGTCTGTGCGCGGTAAGAACCGAAGAACGACGCGAAACGTTGGAGATATCGCGCGTAAGGAGGACGAGCGGAGGACGAACGCGCGGACGAGCGCGGACGATAACGACCGGGACGTCGATCACGGACGAGACATATCGACGTTTGATAAGGAAGATAAACCTATGTTGATATGTGCGTTTGACGTTGTCGGTGCGACGGCGGCGCAGGAAGCGATGATTCGGGAGGCGATGACGCTGAAACCGAATTATTCCTACCGCGTGCGAGAGGTGGTCGCGGAGAACGAGTCTATTATGAACTTGGGCATCTTTAAGAGCGTTCGATGCCTGGCGAAAGATTCGAGAGATGGTTTGAGAGTGACGTTTGAGGTGGTACCTTACGAGATCATGCGTGGTTTAGAGTTTTACGGCCTGGACAGCGTCCCGGCGAAGCTCATCGAGGACACGTTCAAGCCGCAGATGGGGAAGCCAATGAATTCAAAGGAGATCGTCGGCGCGCTGGAAAACTTCAAGGCGTATAACGTCAACACAAGACGTTTCGGCGAGGCCACGATAGAAGGAATGCGAATGATTGACGACACGAGCGATGGGATTTTGCGATTGGAGTTCATCGAGACTTCGGTGGACGGGGTGACGATTGAGATTGATCCATCGGTCGACCCGAAGACCGGAAAGGAGAACAAAGTCGTGAGCAAGGTATCGAGCATCATGCCCTACTTTGAGGGCATCGCACACACAAAGTGCCTCAACGGTGACCGCCTGCGCGAGGCCGTGGATAGGTTCCGGGCGCAGAATCCACGATTCGGCGAACCGCGGATTAACTTATTGCCGACGCCGGGGAAGCCGCTGGGGCACCGCACCTTTGTGGTGCAGCTCAAGGAGAAGGCGATGCGCGGCATCACGTGCGGTGGAGGCATGAGCGCCCGAGGGCTCTCGGAGGGGATCTTCAGTGGCTTAGCGGGACACTTCAGCGCGTTCCACACCAACCTTTTCGGAACGGGAAAGATGTCAAACTTTAGCATCGAGGCAACGCCGAGAAAGGGCGGGCGCGGTCTTACTGTCGTCCGACCGCACGTCAACCTCTCCTTCTCCGATCCATGGGTTGGCTTCGGCCCCGCTCGGACCTCGCGAACGCTCTCATTTAGGAGCGATAGTAACAGCATGCGCGCGACACACGGTGTTCCCTCGAATGCCGAGGGTGATGGGACGCAACCAGATATCACGGCGCCCGGTTTGTCTGACATTTCGCTTCAGAAGCACGCAGCGTGCATCGAGCACTCACGTCCACTCCTGAACGGATGGACTGGTACTTTTGCCGTAGATTTCAAATCGACGTCCGTCTTGGATAACGACGGTCAGCATTCTCTACTCGACGCCTACGGTGCGCCAGTGACGTTCAGTGGATTGAAGTACGACACCGCGTTCGCGTCTCAGCTTCGGTTCACCTACAGTGGCGCGAACTCAGCGCACTTGATGTTGAGCGCCGAGCAAGCGCTCCCGGTGCAACCGCAGTGGCTCAAGTACACGCGCGTTGTGGCCAAGGCGAAACGTTCGTTCGATCTGCTCAACCTCAAGCAGCTTCCAGGCCCAATGCAGCTCGTACTGAGCTCAAAGGGCGGGAGCGTTTTCGGAGATTTACCTCCGTATGAGGCATTCGCCATCGGCGGTACGTCGAGCGTCCGAGGCTATAACGACGGATCGATCGGTACGGGTCGTAAGTACGTCGTTGGTAGCGCCGAGTATCGCTTACCGATCCGGCCGGGAATCACGGGAGCGCTGTTCTTTGATTACGGGAGTGACTTACACTCTGGTAGCAGCGTCTTGGGCGATCCCGCTGGAACGCGAGGCAAACCGGGGAGCGGGTTCGCGTACGGCGGCGCCGCGCTGTTTGAGACCGGAGGTCTTCCGATTCGCTTCGACTACGCGATGAACCATCAAGGAAACGCGCGATTCCACTTTTCTCTAGCGCGAGATTTCATCTAAACGGCTAACGGCTAAACGGCTAAGCACTCTAGGTGATGTACATACAGTGGGACAAACATAAAATCATTCATTCACCCACGAGTTCCGGGAACTCTTGCGTCTTCCCCGCGCGCCTCTTCGAACACTTGGACTCGGCGCCGTCGCGCGAATCACACTGCATGGGAAACGCGCACATACACGGTCCGCTTCGTCGCTCGCGAAACGTGTAGGACAGTCGAACGTCGTCTCGCGCGATGGTTTCGCCCTCCACGTTGTCGAATTTACGGTGCGGTATATAATGTTGCCAGCGATAGCGCGCGTCGGCGCTCAGCACGAGCATCGATCTTCTGGGAAGAAATAGCGCTCGATTCTCCTCAGCGCTCGTCCTGAACTCCATGACGGCGCACCCCTCCAGGGTGAGCGACAAAATCGTTTCGCCAAACGCGCTGTGCGTGTCCACGTGCGGTGCCAGTCCCGTCCCTCGCGGATACTCGTTCACCGTCACCTGGTCGCATCGTATCGCGCTCTGGTATCCGATCATGTCACTTCTCAATCTTTTTAAAATCTCCAGAGCCAACGATGGAATCGCCTCGCACCGCTCGTTCGCGTCTCTCGTCCCGTAATCAAACGCATAACCGAAGTGTTTCACCCGTCGTCTCGCCAGGCGCGTCTCCTCCCCACTCTCGCGCGCCAACGTCACCAGCGCTCGCTCCTCATCCACACTCACGAAGTTTTCAATCAGCGTCAGCCCCGGGATCGCCAAATCTTCCGCGCGTCGACGCGCCATCGTCCGCTCGGCGACGTCCCGCTCGCCCGCCGCGACCGCCCGCTCCGTCCACGAACACCGCAATCCGCAATCCAACGCCTCCAAACGCCCCATCGCCCTCGACGAAGCGTCGACCGATGCGAACGCGAGCGTTACGGATCGCGTGCGATCGCACACGGACTCCACGCGTCCGTCGTCCCCACGAATGCTAATTCTTTCCAATACTTCACGAGCTCTGTCTCCGCTCTCTATCGGTGACACCCTGAGCCTCGTCGTCGGTCCACGCGATCGGCGATACCTCGGAACGTTCGCGGAGTCCCCGTTCACCATCTTCGCGCGCGTCTCGCGCGAAGCGACGACGGGAACGAGGGCGAGGCGCGTCAGTGTGTGACGCTTCGTCTGTGGATTGCACTTTTTTGTGAAAACGAATGAATCCGCGCGACCTGGACGGCGACGACCTCGACCGATGGCGTGGGTTCACTCAAGATGAGCTCGATGTTGCGATACGCGTCATCGAGCGGTGCGCGCGCGCGTCGTCGACGAGCGATGAGGTGAGGGGTGAACAAGGCGCCGCCGGGGAAGAAAACACTTCGACGACGGCGGCGCGCGCGCACGACGTCGACGTCGACGCGTGGACGCATCCCGCGCAGAAGCGTCTGCGTCAGGCGGTGCTGCCGCTTTTGGAGCGCATGCACGGGAAGATGTTCCACGGGATGACTCGGCGGGAGTACGTCGCGGCGAAGATGCCGAAACGCGAGCGAAACAGAAAGAAAATGGCAGAGAAAGCGGCCGATCGGGCGAAACTGGACGGGACGACGTTGAGAAACGAGCGCTTAAAACGGTTGAATGCATTACAGGAGAATAATGGGGAGATTAACGCGCGGTTGATCCCCGATGGGGTGGTCGCAAGCGCCTCGGGCGCGTCGCTCGCGGCGAGTGCCTCGGGTGAGGCAGATGATGGGGAGGAGTTCAATCTGTTACGGGCGTGTTACGTGTGCAAGTCGCGGTATAGAAAGTTACATCACTTCTACGCCGCCCTCTGCCCGGATTGCGCGACGTTGAATTGGGAGAAGCGGTTTCAGACAGCGGACATGCGAGGGAAGTATTGCGTGGTCACCGGCGCGCGGGTGAAAATTGGCTATCGCATTGCGCTAAAACTCCTGCGAGCGGGGGCGAATGTGATCGCGACCACGCGGTTTCCCATCGATGCATTGAAGCGGTTCGAGTCAGAGGAGGATTCCAACTCTTGGATCGGTCATTTGCAGCTTCTCGCCATGGATTTGAGAGACTTACCAGGTCTGGAGCGTCTGTGCGCGCATTTGTTGAACACCTTGCCTCGATTGGACGTCCTCGTGAACAACGCTTGTCAGACAGTTCGACGACCTCCGGCGTATTACAAACACCTTCTACAGGCTGAAGCGCAGGCGGGATTCACCCGCCCGCTCGCTGGGGCAAACAGTCGATGTGATTTCTTACCCGGCGCCGACATGGAGCCATCACCGTCGGCCCTGAGCGATTGGCGACAAGGGGATAAGTTCAAGGAGGCAGGATGGATGGCGCCCTCGGCGGCGATGTCGCAGCTTCAACTAATCGCATCAGACGCGGACGAATCGAACGAGCACTTCCCCGAGGGCGCGCTTGATGTGAACGGACAACAGGTAGATTTGAGAAAGAAGAACTCGTGGACGATGAAACTGGGTGAGATTGAGACGCCCGAGTTGTTGGAAGTGCTCGCGGTGAACGCAGCGGCGCCATTTGTCCTGAACGGGAAACTTCGACCGCTCATGGCAAAGACAGTGGCGATGGATAAAGAAGCCGGGATCGAGCACGCCGCGGCGTTCATAATCAACGTGTCTGCGATGGAGGGCCAATTCGCGCGCGCGAAGACGGTGCACCACGTGCACACCAACATGGCGAAGTCCGCGCTGAATATGATGACGGCGACGAGCAGCAAAGATTTAGCGTCCGAGGGTATCTACACTAACTCTGTGGACACCGGATGGATCAACGACGAGAATCCTCTCGAAAAGGCGTCTCGATTGGCAAAGGAACAGGGCTTCCAGACGCCCATCGATGAGGAGGATGCGGCCGCGCGTGTGCTCGCACCCGTGTTCGAGGGATATGCCGAATCGCCAGAGACGTGGCCGCCGGTCTTCGGAAAGTTCTTAAAGGATTACCGCGAGACGCTGTGGTAGGTTGCGTGCGCCAAAGTCTGTTAATTTGTCAATACATCGAGCGGGAGATAGCCGAACTGCCTAAACGATCCGTCGTCGAGCTCGGGCGTGAACAAAACCCCGCGAAACGTCCCACCGTAGCCCGAAATGTACGCATCACCCGAGAGTGAGTTATACTTAATGAACACCGCCCCTTGCGGAGGATCGACAGGGACGCCATCCTTGTCCATCCCGTGAAGCTTTCCTCTCGGCAGCGCGAGCTCGGTGGTCCACGATCGAAGAGAAGTCAATCCCTCCTCCGCCGACGCGGCGCAGATTCCGAGCATGATTCGGGACGCACGAGACGCTAAGGCACGCGTCGACCGCTCGAGCACCGGTCGTTCGCATGCGCTGAGCGCGGCGTCCTCACCCGCTTTGCGCTGAGTCTCATCGAACCGTTTCAACAGCGTCTCCGCATCCCGCGTCGTTGGTAGCATGCTCGCGTCGACACCTGTCTTGATGAAGACCCCAGTCGTTATGCTAGGCGTCGACGGCGCACGCGGTCGAGCCGAAGTGCGTGCGAACGGATCGCGCGTTGTCTTCAACTCGCTAAGCGCCGAAAACGCGCCCGCGTTGGTAAACTTCTCTCCACCCTCACTCGACCCATCGCTCGACGCACGAGTGGAGATCCACCTTTCAACGTATTGCTTCTTCGCATGCACCGTTGATCGAACGCTGTTCAACGATGCGAGCGCGTGCGACATTTGACCCGTCACGCACGCCGCCGCCGCTCTATCCGCGCGATACGCGTCTTCACACGCACGCTCACGCCCTCTCTTCCGCCTCTTTCGCCTCCAGCGCCCTCGCCTTGAGGCAACACTCGTCGTACAGCCGCTTTACGTCGTCGCACCGGCCGAAATTCAACGTCGAAGAGCTCGTTTGGGACTTAGTCACCGGCAGACGAGACAAACACCTCTGTATCGCGCACGCGTGACGCTTACACTTGATCTCGCACACGTCCGCGCCCTCGCGTGGCTTTGAACGAGTTCGCTTTTGGTAGACGAAGCTCACGGGCATACACGTCCGAGCGACGACGACTGCGGAGGCCGGTGGGCGGCCCGGCGAACGCGAGCGCACGCGGATGGCAACGACGATGTAGCGTCGACGAGGTGTGCGCTGATGATGATGGTAAATTAACTGGTGATGATGATGTTAAAAATAATTGTACGATTGAATGCGAATTAAGCCGCTCCGGCGCTCGCGGCTGCCTTGGTCATCAAGACGATTTGGTCCTTGACGGATTTGCGGTCCTCCGCCGGGGACTCAAAGGGTAGGCGTAAATCGTATCGCTCGCCGTCCTTCGTCACTCTGCAGTTCATCCCAAGCCTGTCGATCGATCGCATCTCGATCGAGTCCGCGTCGATGCCGACGTAGTGTTTCGCCATCGCCCTCAAGGAGTCCGCGTGGTCCGCGTTCATGTGCCCACACACCGGCGCCGAGAACGCATTCACTGGATCACACGTTGCCGCGTCGTACTCGGCCGGACTTACGCTCGCCGCGCGCGCGAATCCACCGACGATTCGACACGCCACGATCTCACTCATCTCGTACCAGGCGAAATCTCCAAAATCAACCCAGTACGCCCCCGGATGTCGCTTCAAGTACGCCGCGCGCGTCTCCGCGACGCGTTCATCCGGCACCAGCGTCAACATCCCGCTCAGCGATACCCTCCCGTCCGCCACGCTATCGAATCCACTCTCCTGCACGGTCACAGTGCACCGAGAGTCCTCCATCAAATCTCTCGCGTGTTGCGACATCGAGCTCAGCGCAAGCGTCGGCCGCCCACGCGCGTCGCTCGCGTACGCCGCGATCGATCCACACGGGAACCCACTCAGTGCCCCCGCCTTTGAGTTCCCAATCGTCGACAACGACGCCGTGGAGTTCACTTGCACGAGCGTGCGCGCGTCGCTCGCGAGCGACGGTCGAGCGACACTTTTTTGATGATTCATCAAAATCTGAATGAAATCTACGCTCCCGTCGTCCGCGTTCGCCGAACCGTTCGCCGAAGCGTTCGCGCGAACGTACGTCATCGTCTTCGGCGCCGTCTTTGCCCCCACCGAGGACGCGCGCGAGCGCACGAGCGAGGCAGAAGCGACGCGAACTCTGAGCATCTGCGTCACAAAGTGGCGTTCGCGCGCCGCGTCGTGCGCCGATGGCGCGTCCGGCGACGCGCGCGGACGTCGTGCTAAGCCGCGGGCGTCATGGCGCGATGGAGTGCTCGAACGCGACGCCGAGCGGGACGGGCGTCGATGAAGTGCATGAATTCCCCAAAGTCGAATTCGACGTCACGAAAACCGTCGTCGCCACGGCGTTTCACAGCGCCCTGCGAGCGCTCGATCACGGGGACGAGTCCCAAGCGATGGATTTCGTCGACGCGCTCGAGTTGGCGTCAAAAGAGGACGTTTTGGAGACGCGAGCGGGAGATGATGATGGTTCAGCTGTCGCGCGCGTGTTCGAACGCGTCGCCGTCGACGAAACGGGCGCGAACGATTCGATCGCCGACGAACCGATCGGTGCGGACGATGAAAACAGAGCTAGGGTGAACGTGCCGATGGATTCGTTAGAGGTGGTTGAGCCGATCGCGAGATCGACGCGAACGGTTCCGGAGACGGAGCCGAGCGGGTGGGACGCTCGAGCGAACGCGGCGACGCCGACGGTTGAGCCGAGTCCGTCGACGAGTGGATTGGGCGAGGGCGCGGTGCCGTCGCCGGTAATGAGCGCCGACGTCGTGGGTGAGCTGGGGGCACTGCAGTACGCGAACCCGTTCGTACACACGCCGATATGGCCGCGAACGCAACAGGCGCCGGAGACGGATCCGCGAGAGTTTCGGAGAAAGTTTGTGTACTTTAGGGAGGACAGTGACGAAGGCGCGACGCCGGTTGTTGCGCGCGCGCGCGTGCCTGCGTCGGCGCCTAGGCCGGGTGGACAGGTGAGCGCGGTGCAGAGTCCGTACTTGCTCATGCACAAAAATTTGGCGACGCCGTACGTGAACATGGAGCGCGCCGCTCCGGTGAGCGTGACGTTGACAACGGCGAGCGGAAAAAAGGTTGTCGCGCGCACGGATTCTCACGGAAACGCAGCGGTACCAATGGTGATGGAAACGCCGCGGTTTGAGTCCGATGAGGACGCGTTCTCGTTTCGTGCGGCGATCGAGACACCGGCGACGTCGGCGCCAGCGATCGGCAGCGGATTCTTCACAGCGGGTTCGGGAGCGCCTGTGGAGATTTCAGCGGCGGCTATGCACCGAGCTCGGTCGATGTTTGCCGCCGGCGATGATTTACCAACAGTGACTGTGCCGTCGCCCGATGTCGGTGGGTTTTCGTTTCAAACTGCGGGAGGAGCGCGGATCGCCGTTTCCGACGATTCGCGACGTCGCGCACGGGCAATGTTCGGCGGCGCAGACGACGCCGATCGTCCGTCGACCTCAGCCGGCGGTGGCTTCGCGTTTCAAACCGCTAGTGGGACCAATATCAAGATTAGTGATGAGACGATGTGCCAAACGAGAGCTCGTTTCGCGGATCAGGGCGAAGAGAACACAATGAAAACGCCGATCAACGCCCGGTCACGGTTTCCGCAGCCGTCATTCAAGACACCAAAATCGCTTCCAATCGCGCGTAGATTGGACGCAAAGGCGCCTGGGTTCACGCCTCCGATGAAAACCGGCGCGTTTCGAACGCCGATGACGAAGATGGGCGTCGAGGCGGCGGCAAGCGCGGGGCGAACCGTCAAGCGAGCACGGGGCGGTTCCGGAGCACCCGTGCACGACCTCTTCGCCGCACGAGCGCGAATGGGCATGCGGGCGCCGTTGCGCGCGTTCTTCAATGGATTGCGACCCTTTCAGTCGCGACCCGTTTTCGTGGACGCGTGCGTGAGAACGCTCTGCGCCGACACTGCCAAGGCGTTGCGATTGCCGAGCATCGAACGCGGTCTCGTTGGTTGGCGAGAGATGCGAGAGCTCATGATCAGAGCGGGCGCGGACGAGGCGTGCTTGACGAACGAGTGGGTTGCTAACACGTACAAGTGGATCGTCTGGACGCAAGCGTGCGTCGCACGGGCCTTCCCGGAGAAGTATGCCTTTGGCGTCTTGAGCGAATCCTCAGTGCTGCAGCGAATGCTGTACAAGTACGAACGCGAAGTGAACCGAGCTCAGCGTTCGCACTTGAAGCGGGTGCTCGAGAAGGATGAAAACCCGGGCGCACCGGCCATCTTCGTGGTGAGCGCGATCCGCTCGATGACGACGGCGACGGTTCAGGGCGCGGCGCCGACGATGTCAGAAATCGAAGTCACAGATGGTTGGTATGGAGTTCGGGCGAGACTGGACGCAAAGCTCACGCAGCACGTGCGAGAAGGCCGTCTTCGCGTTGGAAGTAAGCTATTCGCCGCTGGATCCGATCTGAGAGGCGTGACAAATCCCGTCTCGCCGCTCTCTGAGGACGCGGAGTCGGCATACTTGTGCCTACACGCCAATGGCACACGCCCTGCGCCTTGGGACGCCACGCTCGGTCTGAGAGGCGTGACAAATCCCGTCTCGCCGCTCTCTGAGGACGCGGAGTCGGCATACTTGTGCCTACACGCCAATGGCACACGCCCTGCGCCTTGGGACGCCACGCTCGGGCGCACTACGTACAATCTCTCGATACCGATGCGCTCCGTCGTTCCCGACGGTGGTGTGATCCCGCGTATGATCTTTCGCATTCGTCACGTCTATCCGATGATGCATCAGGAGCGGCGCGACGAGGAAAAGAGCGTGATGCGATGTCAGCCCGCAGAGCATCGTGCGCAAGCCAATTGGCAGCGCGATCGAGACGTCGTGTTGCACGAGCTACAGGACGCGATGAATAATCGAGTCGGTGGATGGGGCGCTGGCGTCGACTCAGAACGAGTCGTGAGAGAGGCGCTCGAAGAGAAGAACCTGTATGAGCGTCGTACGACCGCGGTGCTGCGATTGAACGTCGTCGGTTTTGTTCCTTCGCCGGAACACGAGTCATATCGAGGTCCAATCATCGACGGACCGACGAGCGCGATTCTTACGATCTGGGACGTCGATGAGGTACTAGCCGAGGCTGCGACTCCAGGGCAAACATTTGCGGCGACGGCGCTCAAGCCGCGAGCGAGCGTGTTTCACGACAGAGAGTTGAGCTTGTCGACGACACGTTTCACGCGTTGGATCCCTATTTCGCCAAGCGATACGGCCGAGAACAACTTGGTTGCGAGCGAACCCGATTGGAGGTGTATGAGCGTGCGTGCGGACGAGGATCTGGGAGACCTTGCGCGCTCGGGATTACCTCGCAAAGAGTTTGATACCGTGGTGTGCGCCCTGCACTGCGGCCCGCCGCGATCGACGCAGCGAGGTCGTCTGTCTCAGTGGATATTCTGCCTCGACAGCTCGTCCATCACTGCACAGAAGCAGTCTTCGCACTTACTTGCGGTTGAAATTTGTGGTTACGACGACGACACGTTCGTCAAGGTCGAGGAATGGATGCCCTCGGCGAGCCCATTCGGGGCGTCGCGCCACGAATGCGGACCGCCCGTCATACTGTATAATCTCGAGTACTTGCACTACGATAGAGAGAATGACGTGTACGTCGCACGCGTACTCATGGAGAATATCGTTGCTGTCTTAGGAACGACATCCTCGAATCCGCCAGCCGCTGCTGCTGCGCGTGAGCTCGAGCAATGGCGTTGCGCTTCGGCGGAATCGCGATCCAAAGTCGTCGCCCTCAAGGCGCGCGCGCGTCACCTCACGGGCATGCCGATCGACGACTTCGCGTGCGCGGCGGAATCCCTCGAAGAACTTGAATCTTGGGACGAGGTGAACGCGTCTCAGCGACCGGCGTCGCCCGGGGACGAGTATGTTCCGCCACGTCTGAGCCTGGACGACGGATGGAATGATGAGACCGCAGCCCGAGCGCTCGCGGATGTCGTGAACACCGCGGACGAGGCGATTCGTCTTTCTAGAAGCGCAAAAAAGCGACGATCGACGTCGACGCAGAAGTCCGCGTCTCCTTCGAGGACGACGCCCCGTCGTTCGAGTCGTTCAAGTCGAGGCTCGTGAGCGAGTGAAGCAAAGGAAAATAACCGAGTGCTTGTTTACAATTGGAATACCTCGAGAACTCTTCGAGCGCTCGACCGCGCGTGGTGTAAATTCATGATCATTGTTTCTTCGCGTCTCCCGCGCGAATCTCTCATCGGTTGCGACGTTGCGACCTCTCATCCGTACACCTCCGCACGAGTTTTAACCTCTTTTATTCGCCGCCTTGATCGTCTCCTCGATCGTCTTCGCCTTCTCCACGTGCGCTCGCACCGTCGCCAACTCCAATGGCATCTCCACGATGATCTCATGTTTCCCCTCGTTCATCCGACATCGCACGCCATCGCAGCACATGTACCACAAGCTCTGCGTCTCCCGACGTATCCGACACCCTCGTTCGTCCCGCACGTACAACCGTTCCTGCAGCGCCTCCAGCGCTCGCATGCCGTCTCGCGTCTTGAACATTTTATACGCGTGCGGGGTGTCGTCGTACCCTCTCTCCGCGCCGATCGCCCATCCCAGCGGTCGCAGCGCGCGCTCGATGTTCGGCAGCGTTGCCGAGTCAGCATTCCCGTGTCCTCGCGCGTCGTCCCCGTTCGGGTTCGGGACGATCGGGGGCACGAAGGCGCGACACCGTCGCACGCGCTCTCGCGCGCGCCCGTCGCGGGGCGAACGACGGCGCGACGACGCGGTCGCGGGCGACGAATGCGCGCGCATGCGTCGTCGAGCGTCGATGAGTGGCGTTGGCGGCACTCATGCGCGCGTCGCGTCGCGATGCGGGCGACGCGATCGGCGCGCGCGTGCGCGAGGCCGCGCTGCGCCGCGCGTCGACGATTCGAGGCGGCGTCGCGATCGATGACGACGCGTACGCGGCGCTGAGCGCGTTCGTGGTCATGGAATGGGATTTTGATGATGCGAGAAAAGCGTCACCGACGCGCGCGCGCTGCGTTTCTCTGGCGACCGGGACGAAGTGCGTGGGATTTAACGCGCGCGCTCCCGACGGGGGGGGCGTCGCGGACGCGCACGCGGAAGTTTTGGCCAGAAGGGCGTTCGCGCGGTGGTTGCACGTCGAGTACGCCGCGTACGCGGACGGGAAGGCGAGCGTGTTCGAACGCGACGATGGGTTGGGTGATGTTCACGGTGGATGCGCGTTGAAGGTACCCGTGGAGTCGATGGTTCGGTTGCGGCGGGGGGTGGAGGTGCACGTGTACTGCAGTCAGTCGCCGTGCGGCGACGCGAGTGTGTTCGAGCTGCGGCGGGCGACGAACGCGGGCGATTGTGATTTTGGAGATATTCGCGGCGGACGAACGGCGTCAACGAGTGATGTAGAGCGAAAGAAGCGAGCGAAGACGACCGGGCTCGCGGGCGGGGGCGCGGGGACGACGGGGGCGAAGATTATGAGCGTTGAGACGCGGGCGGGCGGCGGCGGCGGCGCGGATCCCGAGCGCGATCGAGCGACGAAAGAGATCGGGGCGATTCGTTGGAAACCGGGACGCGGTGATCCGTCGTTTTGTTTGAGCTGTTCCGATAAGCTTTGTCGATGGTCGATGTTCGGTTTACAGGGACGATTAATGAGACTCGTGGCGAGAGACCCGATTACGCCGAGCTCGGTGTGCGTCTCGACGCCGCGCGTGCGTGAGGAGGACGAAGACGAGGCCAAGCGTGTGGTCGAGAGCGCGCTGAAGCGTGCAATCGTTGATCGCGTTGAGCGCGGCGAAAATGGTGACGCAAATGGTATCGACGCCGAGATTGAAGATGCGTCGCTGATGTGCGTCGCCGTCGCGCCCGCGGATCGTACGAATCTTTCATCGTACGAAGCCGTCGCCAACGGCGCCGCGGTCGCGGCACCCGTTTCTACTGTGTACATAGCGCCACCGACTTGGGCGATGGACGTCGAGGAGGACGCAAACGAACTGAGTCGCGTCGAACGCATCCTCGGCGCGTGCGGCTATCTCCAAGGATCTGGTAAAAAGAGTCGAGCCTCAGGCGCAGGTTCGAGCGCGCTTAGCGCGCGAAAGATGTGCGAATCCTTCGATGCGTGCGTCCTCTTGCGCTTACCATCGAGCGTGCGAGATGCTCTCCGCTTGAAGACGTACGCCGAGGTCAAATCCGCGTGCGCGCCTCGGCGCTCGATGTCGCGCGCGCCGTCCAAACGCGCCTCGAATCCCATAGCTGAACGACTCGCCGAGCCAATCCCGGGTAAGGACAAAGACTCCATCGAATCTTTCGTCCCGTTCACGTGAGTACGTAGCTCGTAGCGTCTTCAAAGACACATTCTAGACCATCATCGCTGAACTGTTTCTCCGTCCGTCCCGCTCGGCGCCGCGCGGCGTATTTCATTTGATTTCAGCAAATTCATAAATGTCACTCCCTCCGCACTTCACGATGCCGTCCGAGCCGCGACCCACCCGCGCCTCCGCGCGAAAATCACGCGACGCACGCGCGGATTCCCTCGACGGACGACGTCGCGGCGACGCGTCCACGCGGTTCGCGATCGGTGCGTGTTCTTTCCTCTTGGGACTGATGATTGGCAAGCGAACACAAAACGCGCGCGTCGACGACGAAGAGGACGATCCGGTGCGCGAGATCACGTCGGTGGAGGCGTTGCTGAAACACCCGGCGATGCGAGAGGTCGGGACGCCGCCGTCGACGCGAAAGCTGAAGGAACGGCGCGGCGCGGCGCGCGCGAAGAACAATCGAGGCGGTTCGGACGAGACGACGAGCGCGCGAGACGATGACGCGCGCGTCGACGAGAGCGACGCGACGGACGAATCGCATACGTTGGATGGGCATCATCGCATCGAACAAGTCGCGTGGGACGCGGACGTTCGATCGATGAGCATACAACACGGCTTGGAGCTCGAGACGAAACGAGTGGGATCGAGCGTCGGCGCCTTCTTGGACCCGACGTTCGATACCTCCTCCGCCGCCGCCGCCGTGGCGGCGTTCGACTCGTATTTAGAGCTGAGCGAATCCAAGGACGCCGCGAACGCGTCGGTGACGTTCGACGTGTCCGAAGACGACAACGCGACGTCTCTCCGCGCCGACGTTACGGGCGTCGCGTGAAATCAAAACGCGCCACTCTTCCCGACGCTCGATTCCATCGATGCTCGACACGTCCGCGTCGCGACGCGTCGTTCGCCCGTACCGCGCGCTCGACGCGCGCTCGACGCGCTCGAACGTCGTCGATCGACGAACGCGCGTCGTCACCCGCGCCGGCCCGAAAAATCGACTTCGCGAGAAAGAATTACGAAAAGCGAGCGAACGCGACGGCCTCGAGCGCTCGGACGGGACCAAGGGCTCGGGCGCGAAGTGTGCGCCCGCCGGGAGCGACCGCGCGGTCGACGCGCGGTCGAAGCGCACGCCGGTGCAGCGTTTCGTGCGAAAGGTTCAGCGAAAAGCGAAAAAAGCGGCGCAGCGAGCGGTCGACGCGCTCGTTCCGACGAGCGATCCGCTCGCGAGACGGAGCGAGGTGACGAGCGCGCGTGTGGGCGTGCCGACGACGACGGCGCGGTACCGAAACGCGAGGCGTGGGGCGGATGGAGAGGCGGGACGGGCGACGATCGCGTGGGGGACGCTCTTCGCGCTCGCGTGGTTGGCGCTCAAGGTGATTAATCGCGAGAATCCGTTGCGAGCGATCGGTGGGGCATTGCGCGGGATGAGAAAGGGTGGGACGAATCGTCCGCCTCCGCGCGATGCGAGCGGACCGGGACGGTGGGTGATCGATCGAAGCTTGGGAGGGAAGACGATTTGGGTGCCGGACGCGAACGATCGATACCGCGACGAGCGAAGGCGGTTGGAGGGTGCTCTGGACGATATGCCCGGCGGTACGCAGGGAGATGCACGCGCTCGAGCGAAGGGACCTTCGGCGGGGAAAGCGAGCGTGGATTCGAAGCCTTTGCCCGCGTGGTGGGTTGCGCCGACGCCGCAGTATGTGCCGCCAGGTCGAAAAGACGAGTTGATCCTCACGGCGAAGGCCGAGGGCTCCAAGCTCGCTCGAAACCGCGTGAGTGGCGTTGGATTTAGTGCGGACGCCATCGTCGATTTCAGGAATGCGTGCGCCGCGGCGGGCGAACGCGGATGCGCGGTAAAATCTGTCGGTCCGGAGAGCGCCAGAGTTGCCGTTTTCCGCGCGGCGGCTGACATCGCGGTGTCGGACGCCCTTAGGGGCCAAGCGGGAGCGATGAGCTCGTTCGGTGCCCCCGTTGGATCGTTCCTCGTTGGCCTTGCGGATGACTTGGAGCTCGAAGCGCACAAGTGCGTTTCCATCGTCATGGCGGATGTCGCGGTACGCGTGAGAGGCGTCGTCATTCAAGCCAGCGCTGGCTTACGAAGCAACGACTCCGTGGCCACCATACTCGAGCTTGACAAGCTCGTAAATTTGTTTAACGCGTTTCCGTTCGCTGCGGACGCCGCCGAGCTCGACATGCTCGCCGTGGGTTTCCGCTCGAGGCTTTCCGAGTCCGAACGCGAGCGCATCGTCGCGGAATACCAAGCCGTGAGTGGCGGTGCGCACGTCGACGTCGTTCGCGCCGCCGTCATTGGCCCTGCCTCCTCCGTCTACGAATAGTCACCACGAACGCATTATTCGCGTCGTTGTGTAATCGATTCATTATTGTCGGAGCTTTGATTCAGCTGCAGTCGCCGCCGCGCCGCTTCGCATGCGCTCGAACGCGCCCGCACCGAAGCGCGCGAGAACGAACGACGGGAGAAGTGACGACGAGAACGATATAGAAATGGGATCCGTGAGGCGCGCGTCCAAAGCGCTGCCGAGATATTTGGCGTTTTTGGAATACGACGGCGCAAAGTTTCGCGGCTTTCAGCGCCAAAATCTCGGCGAACGCGCGACGACGACGGTACAAGACGCCCTAGATGAAGCCCTGGAGACGTTCACGGGGAATCGGGGCGCAGTCGCGAGCGTGGGGAGCTCGAGGACGGATGTCGGCGTGCACGCGACGCGAAACTCGGCGCACTTCGACTGTGGGCGCGTCGGTAAGGATGGCTCGATGGACGCGTACGATTCAGAGAGCGTGCGGAGGGGATTGAATTATCACTTGAAATCACGCGAGCGAGCGATGCGGGTGACGGAGTGTGTCAGGGTGGATACGTTGAATCCGACGTTTCACGCGCGGCACGACGCGGTTTCTAGACGGTATCGATACGAGATTTTGGTCGGTGATCGCGATGATGGCGGGAGCGTGTTCGATCGCGACGGAGCGTGGTACTTACGAGCTGTCGTAGCGAGCGATCGTGGGGCGAAGCAGACGTCTTCGAGGCGATACACGACGTGCGAAGCAACCGGACTGGACGTGGATGCGATGCGGCGAGCGGCGAGCGTGCTGATCGGCAAGCACGATTTCAGCTCGTTTCGAGCTTCGGGATGTCAGGCAAAATCACCGATACGAACGATCACGTCACTAGACGTTGTCTCGCGCACCACCGAGTGGCCTTCACCGGAGGCTCGGGGAACGAGACAAGAGGTTTCAGTTCGTGTCGAGGCCCCAAGTTTTCTCTATCATCAGGTTCGTCTGCTCGTTGGTGCGCTTAAGTCGGTTGGTGCGGGTGACCTTACCGTGGACGATGTACGCGAGCTTCTCGAGGCGAAAGATGTCTCGCAGGCGCCGCAGATGGCGCCCGCACACGGCTTGTACCTGATGGATGTGGGGTACTTGCCGAATTACGCGTCGAGGACGCCGTTCTCAAAAGCCAAGAACACGGACACGGACGACGGCGAGGGCGACGACGATCTTTAGCCTACCGCTAGTAACTAGTACAAATTAAATCACATGGTCGCGTGCACCTCAAGGAGGAGATCAAAAGATCCATTTCGCGCGCTCGCTTGCTGAGAGCTCGGGCGCCAACTCTCGCAGCGCCTTGTCGCTACTCGCGAAGATCATTGCGTTCACTCGACGCGAATCGTAGGCCTCCGGATCGATATTATCCTCAACCTCGATCTCTTTTATTCGCTCCGCAAGCACGCACACGTCCCGCTTCCCACCGAAGAACGCATCTCCAAAACTGTGCACTCCGATGACGCGCCCACTATTGCGTTCCACGAGCGCCCCACCCGACATCCCGGCCGCCACCGCGGCGGTGTGCATGGCGTGCGTACCTCCACACGTCGCCATAATCGTCCCCAATCGCGGTTCGTCGAATCCCTTACCCTCTAAAACGAACCGAAAGGCAGCGCTCGCGATACCGGCGTACGCCTGCGGGACGCCCAAAGCCTCAACCTTCGTTCCGACCCTAATATCGTCCGCAGACATCACGTCCAACACCAAGGCGTCATCGAAGACGTCATCGACGTCCACGAGCGCGAGATCCAGCTCGGCGTGCACGCCCACGACGCGCCCGCGACGCGTTTTCTCACCGATTTTCACATCGAGCACATTCTTCTTCCCAGCGAACGACGCGACGTGCGCCGCGGTGAGCGCGACCGCGCCCACGCCGCGCGGACCGCGAACGATCACCGCGCTTCCGCTTCTAGACGTGAACGCGCCGAGCGGGGCAATGGTCACGGGCGTCGGCGGCGGCATGCGCGTCGCACGTTGGCGTTACCTTCATACACTACCTCAATTACATCGATACGTGACATACCGGTGCCATTACGTTGACATTTTTAGGGGTTTGGGTTTTACGTATTTCGTACATCACGGCATTTACACCCATACGTAAGAACAGTTGTATTTGGTTCAGGGTTTAGGGTTTATGACTGTAAAGATCTGTTTTCTCGTCCGCTCGGTGCTTCCGACGCGTCCGACGCGTCGACGCGGCACACTCGAGCCTTCGATCGGGCATCTCTCGGCGCCGAGGTGCGCCGACGACGCGCCCACATCGACCTCGACGCGATCGACGCGCGCGGACGCCGACCGGTCGCGCAGGCGCGCGTCGAGCATCTCGCACACCACGAGATACACTTTTTGGATAACGAAACCATCGCGTCGACGCGCGCGTCTTGGACGCCGCGCGCGGTCGAACGCGACGGATATCGCGTCGAGGAGGGTGACACTGACGCGTGGGCGTCGCGCGCGCGTTCGCAGGAACTCGTGGGCTCGATGACGGTGCCGTTGGGATTGGGCGCGTTGGGCGCCGCGCTCCCGGCGAGCAGAAAGGCGAAGCGCGAGAGCGAGGCGGATGCGATTCGAGCAAAGGGTAACGAGCGGTTCGCCGCGGGAGATCTGGTGAGTGCGATCGCGTTGTACGATGAAGCGTTGACATTGAACGGTTCGGACGCGAGTGCGCACGCGAATAAGGCGGAGTGCTACCTCCGAGCGCGGGCGTTCGACAAGGCGCTGGAGAGCGCCAGGGAGGCGCGCGAACACGCGAGAGGGAACAAGTCGACCGAGCTCAAGGCGCTGTATAAGATGGCGATGGCGCTGAACGGATTGGCGAGGTATGTCGAAGCGGCCAAGGTGGCTGAGGAGGGAGCGGCGCTGGCGAAAGACCCCGAGGATGCGGCGGTTCGGGTGACGCTCGAAAAGGTGAAACTTGAGTGCGAAATGTTAAAGGAACAAGCCTTCGCGGGTATGTTCGATCTCGGATCGCTCTATCTCAACCGCATGAACGCGAGCTTCCGACGTTGCGCGGACTACGTCGGATCTGTCAAGATTGCCAAGTTGAATAACGGCCGTCGAGGCGTGGTGACGACAAGCGCCGTGAGCGCGGGCGATCTGCTCATGGCGCAATCTCCTTTGAGCGCCGCGCCGTTCGGCAAAGACGTCGAACGTCACCTCATGCTCGGCCTGTACGAAGCTGCCCGAGCGAACGCCGCAGACTGGGCAATCTTGAAGGCACTGCCGACTTCGAGTGAGGACGAAGAGAAGGACGCACCGGACGTGAGTTTGTTTCGCAAGCACATCAGCTCAGCGAACAGAGAAACGTCGCCCGTGCCAGAGACGCCGGAGGAGCTCGCATTCTTGCCGAAAATCGTCACTAACTGCGCCATCTCTGGGCGTAAGCTGTGTGGCGTGTGGTCGATGCCGAGCTTCATGAATCACTCTTGCATTCCCAATGCGCATCGCATCAACGTGGGTAAAGTCATGCTCGTCTTTGCCTCGAAGGATCTTCCAGTGGGCGCCGAGGTCACAATCAAGTACTACGACACGCTCATTCCGAAGAGGGATCGTGACGCGTTCGCGACGAGACGCGGGTACGAGTGCAACTGCGTTAGATGCGCGTTTGAGTCCGAGGGTGACGTGGGCGAAGAGGAGAAGAAGAAGCTCGAGGCCGAAGGCAAGGATGAAGGTGTCGGTCCAATCACGCGCGCCGTCAGCGGCTGCAAGCGCAAGTTCAAAGCCGTCCTTAAGGCGTTCAAGGAAGAGCTTGCCGAGTACAGAAGGACGAAGGGCCAAATAGTTCCCAATGTCTTGCCCTTGATCGAGCTCCGCGAGTGGTTCGAGGCTCGACTGGCTGCATTGGAGTTGGACTCGACCCAAGTCGCGATGGCACGAATGTCGGTGTATTCCATATACGAGACGCTTCACATGGCGTTCTCGTGCACGGGTGCAGGAGAGTCTAGGCACCAACTCATCAAAACCATGCTGCAAGACTTGAGCATTGTCGATCCCGGCGGGTTCAACGCGTGCAAACTGAGCACAATGCTCGCGAACGGCGCTCGGCGCACGTTCGGTGTGAATTCAGAGGAAGTGGTTGAGGCGACGAACATCATGGTCGAGGCGCATCGAGTGCGTTACGGTGCAATCGACGGAGAAGATTTGGTTGAAATCGTGCGACGGACAGAGTCTTCCGTCACCCAGGACGAGGGTGAGTTCTGCGAGCTTTGAGCTCATAGAAATTGTTGTCACAACGAGAGTTTAGGCAACGATTTGATCTATCTGCTTAAGCGCCCTATCGCGCGCCTCCATGTACCTCGAGCGCATCTTCGGATCCTTGGAGACGTCGCGCATCGTAATTGTCTCAAACTTCTTCATCGCCTCTTGGAACGCGGCGTCGTCTAGACCCTCGACGCCACGATCTACATTGACGTTCAATTCGTTCATGATGGCGCTGAGCGATCCCTCCATGTCCTCAGCTTTGTGAGCGCGTACCGTTTTCGTGATGACCTTGCCTGCCGCCTTCGTCATCGGCTCTGGCGTCGGAGCTACCGTAGTCGCGGTCGCTCTCCGCTCGCGAGCCTCATAACCTTCGATGATCGGCTTGATGGTGATCAACTTTTTTGAGCGCTCCTCTGCGAGATCTTTCCTGAGTTTCAAGATGTCCTCTTGAAGGTCCGAAATAGTTTTCTCCTTGTCGGTGAGCTCCCCTTGTGAAATTCGCTCATTCGAAGGGACCCATTGCTTCTTTTCATCCGCGACCCACTTTGATTGCGCGTCCCTATCCTCGCGCAGTACCTCGTTCTCGCGCTTGAGTCTTTCGATCTCGGTGAAGTTGTTTTTGACGAGAGCTCGCAAGCTAGTGAGCTCAGCCTGCTCCTCGCCCACAGGTGTTTGCTTGCCGCGAAGCTGTTCAATTTGCTCTCGTATCAATTTACGCTCCTGGTCCCTTCGTTCAAGCGCCATTCTCAGCTCGGCGTTTGACTCGCTCTCGTTCTTGAAATCCTCCTGAAGTCTAGTTAGCTCGAGCTTGGTTTCGGCCAATGAGCGTTTGTGACGCTGCTGCGCCTCGGTAGCGGCGTTTAGCTCGGCTCGAATACGCGAAACGTTGGATTTTTCAAGCTCAGCCTTTTCGCGGGCCTCTCGAATGAGTACCTGCGCGTCGTCGATCATCCTTTTGGCCTCCTTGGTTGAATCCGTGGACGTGGCGACGTACTGCGCTCGCGCCGCCGCGAGGTCTGCCTTGCGTGCTGCGAGTTCTCGGGCGGCCTCAGCCTGCGCTTCCGCGTGCGCAGCGCGCATGCGGTCGACAGCGGAGTCAAACAGTTCCCTCTGCTCTCTCAATCGCTTCTCCAGATCCCGCGCCGCGCGCTCGGCCGCCATGGACTCCCCTCGTCTTCTCGCGTCTTCCAGTTCGGCGCTATCTGGATTATTCCTTCGCTTGGCGTACTCCGCCGCCATGGCGATCACTTCCGCCTCGTGCGTCTCGTTGGCCAATCGTAGCTCCCTCGCAAATTTTCTCGCATCATCTCGCTCGCGTTTCGCCCGCTCTTTCCACCCCTCGATCTCGCGTTCCGACCGCGCCTTGCTCTCGCTCAGCGCCTCCTGCACGTGCAGAAGGTACTCCACCAACAGTTGTAACAGCTTCGCCAACTCCCTTCCACCCCTCGGTTCGCACATCTCCTGATTCGATATCGAATCAATGTCCGCTCGCACGCACGCCTCGAGCACGGCCTCCAGAGCGTCGATGTCCGTCCGCCGTCTCGCGTCTCGCGCGTCGCATCGCGCGATCGCGCTCCAATCGATCCTCGGGTCTTTCAGCGTCTCAAACTCAAACGTATCCCTCGCGTTCTCGCGTCCCATGCGCGGTGACGGCACGGCGTCCAAATCTTCCGCCTCGCCGTCGAACAGGGCGTTCGATCGCACGACGTCCGGGGAATACGTCGTCATGTTTCTCAAGATTTAATTTTCAATTCAGAGTTCGTCCAATCTTCCTTCACGCCGTCCGAGCCCTCGCGCGCCGCGCGTTCGACGACGTCCGCGACGTCGACGGTGCGTCGATGCGCGCGCGATCGAGCTCGCGGACGCGCCCGGAGTCGACGAGAGGTGCCGCGCGCGGTGATGACGTCCGACGCGTCGACCCGCCACCGGTGGCGCGTCGCCTTTCACGAAAGAATTCCAAAGGCGCGTCACCGGTCGAGCGCGTCGTCGAAAGGCGCGCGCGCGCCTTTCGACGACGCCGATGCGGGCGAGATCCACCAGCCGACCCCGCGCGCCGCGTCGTCGCTTCCGCGGACGCCGAGACCTCGGGAGGAACCACCGATGGGCTCGCGCGACGCGCGCGTCCGCCGCGCGACCGCACGGCGTCGTCATAGGCGCCGGTGTCGTGGGATTACACTGCGCGTTGGCTCTGATTGAGTCTGGAAAATTCTCTTCGGTCCGCGTCGTCGCCGAAAAGACGAACGAGGGGACGACGAGCGCGGTGGCGGCGGCGTTTTGGTACCCGTTCTTGACGAAGACGTCGCCGGAGGAGATGAGCGATCGGTGGGCGATCGAGAGCTTACGATGGTACGAAGAGGTTGAGCGAAGCGACCGAGAGGCGAAGACGCAGTCGTCGGGGGTGGAGATTCGTCGATTTAAGTTTTATTTGAGGGAGCAAAAGGAGAAACCGGCGTGGGCGGCGGCATTGATGCATCACCGAGAGCTTGAGGTTGGGGAGTACGACGAGAGTCGATACGCCGGGGGCTTCGAATTCGACGCGCCCGTGGCGGCGATGTCCACGTTTTTGCCATGGTTACTGGAGCGGTGTGAGCGGGCGGGGGTGCAATTCGATTGGCGCAAGATATCGAGTGTTGAAGACGTCGTGCGTGATTCGGACGACGTTGGCGTCGTCGTGAATTGCGCCGGCTTAGGGGCGAGAGAGCTGGTAAACGATCAGGAGGTGGTGCCTATTAGAGGCCAAGTTTTGTACACGACGCAGGACTGTGGCCAGGGGTATTTTGATGATAATCCCGAACGTTTGGGGTATATCATCCCACGCAGGGACGTCACCGTGCTCGGGGGGACTGCGACGAGGGGGGACGAGCGCACGGAGGTGGACGAGGGGGATACCGCGAGCATTTTCGAAAAGTGCCAGGATTTGTTCCCGGAGTTAGACGCATCGAAAATTATCGGTGCGAACGTAGGGCTGCGGCCGTCGCGCAATGTCGTTCGATGCGAATTAGATGAACCGCTCAGTCGAGGGGCACGCTTGATTCATTGCTACGGACACGGGGGCGCAGGAATGACCTTGGCGCGCGGGAGCGCTTTAGAAGTGCTTCGGCTCGCGCTCGAGGCGGCCTAGGCGTGGTGCGCGCGCACCGCGGTTCAATTAATGTACCTTCATCACACGCTTTCGTTTCGTTGAAATCATAACCTAGCATCAAGCGTTCTCCTACTCGAAATTATCAAAGGCGGACTCGTCGGCGATGACGCCAAGCAATTTTGAGTCGACGCCCGAGTCGCGCGCCAAGGCCACGCGACCACTGCGCGCAACTTCCAAAATACCATAAGGCTCAAGCAGCGCCTGGATGGCGTTAATCTTACGTTGACGGCCGCTCACTTCGATCGTGACGGTGTCTTCCGAGATATCGCACACCTTGGCGCGGAACATGGCGCACAGGTCAATGACCTCGGCGCGGTTCGCTCGCGGACACACCACCTTGATGAGCATCAGCTCACGCTCGACGAACGGCGTGTTCGTGATGTCTTGGGCGGAGATGACGTATGGGACCTTAAGGATTTGCTTCATCAACATCGCGATGTCTTGCGATGTACCCGGAACCACGGTGGAGATGCGCGAAATGTCAAATGACTTTTCTGGGCCGACGCCCAACGACTGAACGTTGTACCCACGGCGGGCGAATACACCCGTGACCGAGTCGAGCACGCCGGGACGATTATCGACCAAGATAGACAGGGTGCGAGGGGTAAACTTGGCGTTCTCGTCCGGCTTGTCGATGTCCACTTTGTCGGTACCCATGCCCAACCCGGAGAAGGAGGAACTGAGCACCGGCACATCCCACACGCCAATACTGTCATTCTCGAGCGTTGAGTACACGTCACCAACATCCAGATCGCCGTCATCGTCGTGTTCCATCCCAGCGACGGCACGAACGATGCGAGACGCGAGCACGCTCTCGTACTTTGCGCTCCTCTCCTTGACGTTCAAACCGCTCACCGCGTCCTTCGCCTTTTTCATCGCCTCCATGAGTCTCACTCGACGAGAGCGTTGCTCACTGTACACAGGCTCTCGCTTGAGCGCCAACTTACCCGTGCGCGCGACCTGGAGGACGCCGAACTTTGTCAGTGCGCTCTGAAACGCCCGATTCTTTCCCGGATCTCCCGTCACAGCCATCGTCAACGAGTGCTCGGCGACGTCAACCACGCTCGCCCGGAAGATTCTATTCACCTCCAGCACTTGCGAGCGATGCTCGGGCTCGCACTTCACCTTGATCAGCATCAAACCTCGCTCCACGCACTCTTTATTCGTGACGTTCTCCACCTTTCGAACCTTGGCGAGTTTATTCACCTGCTTCATCAGCTTGACCACGTCCTCTTCGCTGCAAATCACCGAAATCGTGAAAATCGCCTTGTCGATGTTTAATCCCACCGCCAGCGACTCGATGTTGTACCCTCTGCGCGCGAACACCCCCGCGACGCGGTTGATCATCCCAGTCTCGTCCGCGACGTAGACCAAGATTGTGTGTCGCCGCAAGTCGCCCGACAACCGCGCCGGCCCCGCGTAGACGTCCCCCGTCGACCCGGTCTCATCGTACGCCGTCGGCACGAACTCCGAGTTCGCCGGAACGCCCGAATCGAGATCATAATCATCCCCGGACCCCCGGACCGCCTCGACGACGCTCGCCGACCGCGCGCGCGCGCGCGGCTCGACGTTGTTCGACGCGACATCAATCTTTTGCGACACCACCGTCATCGGCATCGCTCGCGTCGACCCGAGCGCGGTCGTTTTACGACCGCTCGCGACGTTCGAGCGCGCGCGGGTCGGCATCGCGGACGCGGTGCGCGCGCGCGCCATGGCGAGCAGCATCGACGTCGACGACGGGGCGACGTGTGACGGGCGAAGGTTGGAAAACCCTCACGGCGGAGGGGTTCGATGGCGTTCGAGTGCGTGCGGTACACATTTCGACGTGCCGCCGCGCGCTCGGCGCCGCGCGCTCGGCGCCATGGGCGGCGCGGTGGATCTCAGGATCAAGCTTCCGACGGACGGCGACGACGTCGGGGTCGTGCGGGCGTCGACGTTCGCCAGGGCGCGCGCTTTGGGTGCGTTTTGTGTGAAATTTGCACACCGTGGGTCGAACGCGTTTCGCGACGCGCACGCGCGAACGGCGCGACGAGAGAGGATGCGAGACTGACGAGGGCGCCGTGATGCGTCGTTGTACGCGCAGGCTACCGCGCGGTGGCGATCGATGGAAGCGTGGACGCGTCGAAAGGCGAGCGGTGTCGCGCGCTGCTCGAGCGCGTCACGGCGAACGCGAGCGCGTGTAAGAAGGACGCGGGCGATGGTTTGGAAATCGTGACGCGGTGCACGATCGCATTTGCCGAGCCCGGGGAGCTGCAAGGGGTCCTGGGAAGGTGCTCGAGAGAGGTGGGGGGATTCGACGTGTTGGCGCTCGAGCCGACGAGCGAGCGGGCGTTTGCGAGCGCGTGCGCGAATAAACACGCGGATGTGATCGCGATCAGGGCGAACGTGCGATTGCCGTACAAATTAAGTGCCGCAAACGTTCGCGCGGCGATCGAAAATAAGATTTCGTTCGAGCTATGTTACGGAGACGCGCTGAGGGACTCGACGTCTAGAATGTGGTTCTTCTGTAACGCGAGCGCGCTCGCGCGAGCGACGCGTGGCGGTCGAGATCGTGTCGTGTTGTCCTCAGGAGCGACGCGAGGGATAGAGTTACGCTCGATGCACGACGTGGTCAACTTGGCGACATTCGCTGGGATGACGGAGAGCGCGGCGCGCGCGGCGCTGACGACAAGCGCTCGATCCGTGCTCTCGCTTCGCGCGCGCAGAAGAGACGCCGAAGCTACCGAGAGCGAAGTCGTCGATCGAATGGACGCGTCGTGAGCTCTCATTAGTCGACGTCGTCCGAACGTCACCTAGCTTTCTTAGACCATAGTTGACTGTAGCCTAAATGAAATTGCGTGCCACTTTCCAACCGTTTTAATCGCGACGCGACGTCCGACTCAGCTTCCGAGTCTGTGCTTGCGGTCTTTAATTGATTAAAAGCTTCTTAACAGTCCTAAACGCTCGTAGCGTACGCGCGGTGAATGAAACGTCTCACGCGGCGGCGTCGGCGTCTCTACCTTTTTCGACGACGCCGACGAGCGCGGCGCCGCCCAAATACAGAGACATGAGCGGCACGGCGAGCAGCATCTGCGTAAACGGATCCGTCGACGGTGTGAGGACGGCGGCGGCGACGACCGAGCCCACGACGACGTATCTCCAAACACCGAGCATCTGTTGAGAGCTCACGAGCCCAGTCTGTCCGAGTAAGAGCTGAATCACGGGCACCTGGAACGACAATCCGGTGGAGAAGAGAAGGACGAGGACGAACTCAAAGTACTGATCGATGGACCAGAGCGACTCGACCGCACCATCGGCGTAACCGACAAAGAATTTGAGCGCCGCGGGTACCAGGATGTAATACGCGAAGACGATGCCTCCGTAAAACAACACCGAGGAACCGAGCACGATTGGACCCAGCGTCTTGCGCTCGTTCAGCGTCAAACCCGGTAAGACGTACGCGATCGCCTCGTACAGCACCACGGGCGCGCCCGCGAGCAAACCGGTGTACCCCGCAACCTTGACCGTGGTGAAGAAGTACTCACCCGGACCGAGTTGAAGAAACCGCACCCCTTGGCTCGCCACGGGCTGCTCGAGGAAAATTGTCAAATCTTTCGCAAAGCAAAAGCACAGCAAAATGAGCGACCCCACCGCGGCCGCGCTCACGAGCGCGCGCTCGCGAAGCTCCTCGAGATGTTCCCAGATCGTCATCGACACGTCATCCGGGAGCTGATCCTCCCCCGGATACAGAAAGCTCCGCACTTGCTCTCGCTGCGCCGCCTCGCTCGGCGCCTCCACGAACGCGCGCGTCTTCCGCGTCGTCGTCGTCATCGCCGTCTCACCCCCCCCACCGTTCGCCCGCACCGTTTCATCGCGCGAAATCCCTCGCGCGAACGCCGGATCGGACGTCAACGACGTCTTGTACCCGTCTCCGCCCGCGTCGTCGCCGTCGCCCTCCGTCCGCGCCGTGCCCCCCCCCTCGCCCTCCGTCCCCCCCGCGCGCGACGTCCACCGCCCGCGCCGATCGCCCATCGCCGTCCACCGCGCCCGCGCGCGCGCGCGCGCCCACGACCCCCCCACGAACGCCCGCGCGCCGATCATCGTCCCGTGACGTCGCGTCCCGGGCACCGCCCGCGTCCCCGGCCCCGGCACCGGCGCGCGCATCGTCATCCGCGACGTCGACGACGTCGACGCCATCGCGCGCGGGGCCGTGGACGTCGCGCGCGCGTC